CACACACACACACACACTCTTCATACACACTATACATGCCACTCCGTAACCGTCTTAACTCAAGCCTTAGCTCTGGACCCCCTCGCTGTGGCGTCTGTACATCCAGATCCTCAGTCACTCCTCTAAGTTTTCAAGTCTGGCGCCCTCCTGTGGTGGTCAGTTAAAACTCTCTCTAGCTCTACAAACAAGCAGTTAACCCCAAGACGGCGAGCACTGTGTCAGGAAATACCCAGCTGCATCCTTCATGTACAGCACAGTGCATAATAAGCCTCTGTCTCTTGGATGTGCTAAGATTGCAATGTTAACAGAACGCCTGAGGCCTTGTTGGGGGTTGAGTTCTCCTTCTGATGTCATACATAAAGTCCATGTACTACCACGCACATTGTAGGTTACACCATTGCTCTTAATCCACACATGAGGACGCTTAACAGTTCAGAAAGGACTCGAACCTCTGAGGGACCTTACGCTGGTGTCAAATTGCTGGCCATTGTTTTATTTTGTTCATTTATTTTTAAAAGTTGTTCCTGAGTTAACTTTTTGTTTTTTTTTTAAAGCTAATTTAAATTCCTCTTGGGAGGTTTGAATCATTGCTCTTTCATACAGCGACTTCACAAAGTGACCAGAATCACTCTCTTGCCTTTTTCTCCTTATTTTCATCATTCCTCTACATGATTTCTCTCCCCATTTGAACTTGTGTCTTCTGTCACTTTTTCAAATTCCTCCTTGTTTCTGTCTCCACAGACCCGGCCATTAGCACCGATGTTATTTAAAATCTGGATACGATACTTCCTGTAATATTTCTAAGGGGCAGTGGGTGGAGCATTAATGCAATAGGGGAGACCTGGGATTTCCTGTAGAGTTTGAATGTTTATCAATGTAACCAAATGTGCCACCCTGTACCCATACTACTGGCTCCAGGTCTGCACTGCACTCACCACACTTGGCATTCATTCGTAGCTCTATGCTCATGCTTTATATTGTGTCACATTGAACCCGTTCCTGTTCTGTTCTCCAGTATGTGTCTGTAGCTACATGAAGATACTGACTGAAGAATAATAAAAACCTTTTTGGTAACACTTTCTGAGTAACGACACTTGATCTGCTCCAGGTCCGGCGAAAGATTGCAGTTATAAAACGAGTGTATTGTAGCAAATCTTGTGATTACAGAGAAGAGAATTTTGCAGGAAAAATGTTATTGTACACAAAAACGAATATAAATTAAAGAAGGGGTGGTCCTTAGTTCTACATGTATAAATCACAAACTATCATTCATAGGTTAACACGTGTTTAGGAAATACTTGTTACTAATTCATGAAACCAGAACAACAATAGACTCATGAGGGAACAGCTATTGACCGTTGGGTAAACCCCTCCCCTGAACAGCGATTGTCCAATTGTAGCTTAGCAACCGTAACTAGGCACAACAGTCTGTCTGTCTGTCTGCCCTTTTAAAACCAAAAGCGTGAGTGAAAGAATAAGGAGTGGATTAAACAGCTTGTTTATTTGCTCTGATTTAATCGTTAGCATACCTTTGTAACTAGATTACTACGTACAGTAAAAGCTGATTATTAATTAATTACATTATTAATTAGTTAGTCAGCTAATAAAATCAGTGGTTATTTAAGATGGCAAAATAGACGGATAGAAAGGAGAAGCCTGCTTATCTCTGCCTCTGTCTGTACTCACAGACACACTGGTTAAATAATGACTGCACATTGTGAGTGGTAAAGCTGCCTGTTATGATTTTAACAGAATGTTGGACAGGCGTCGCAACAGTAACCAAAGGGGCTTAACGAACGGTCAATTTATAATAACAGTCTCCTTTTACTGTCAAGAAACCAAATGTACCGTCACCTGATTTATAATGAAAAAGATACTAGTCCTACCAAACATTTTCCTTGTTCATCTTGTTTTGCTATGTGCATTTGTTTACCAATGGAAGTGTTGTTGATCATGGGGTCCTCAGCTTTTATATGATATATCTGAATGTTATTGAGCATCGTTATTTAATTCTTGTCTCCACTGTATGTATATATTCAAAATAAGATGAGGTGCATATATGAATCGTTAAGATCAAACTATGGTACTGTATCACCGACAACGTGATGAGAATTTAAATACTTTTGTTCAATAAAATTTTTTGAAGAATACTAAAATGACAATGTGTTGAAATGAAATGTGTGATTGGTCGTCTTTATGTTAGTTAAACTTTTACTCTTAAACTCTTCCCTGGGCATACAAATACGCTGGGACATTTGTTCCCTGAGCTGAGCCTGTCAGGTAATGCCTCCCTCCTACCTGGACTAGCAGACCCAACGCTAACCACAGACTTAAATGATAGGAGCCTGGGCTCCGTAAGGGTCAACCCATGAAGAATTACTACCTTAACAGTGAAGTAAAGCCACAGTGTTTGCAGTATGTTAATTTGAAAGATGATTTGTTTTAAGTGTGTTACAATAAAGATATACAAACATGTTGGGAGCAGTTTGGGGTTCAGTGTCTAGCTCAAGGACATCCTTGACATGTGGACAGGAGGAGCCACAGATTGATCAGTCCTACATTTAATGGCTGACATACTCCACCTGACCTGCATCTGTTCAATCTGGCATCCAAACCTGTTTTCCAAAAGTACAGAAAGAGTTATATAACCGCCAAAATTACAAACAGGATTGGATTGGAACTGAAATTCAGATATTATGTATTGTTGGATGGATGGATTGAAACAGGCTTATACTTTGAATTAGTATCAGATGAGAGAAAAGTCCAATTTCAACATTAAAATCCTTATAATCCTAAACACGGCCATTTGCATTTTCAATCTGCTACACCAACAGATGCCAGTGAATCTTACACACTGAAATTTAAGTCACAACTTGGTGATAGCAAGCTTAATTACACTGAATTTATTTAAATGCCTTGAGGCCTAATTTACAGTAAAAAAATGCTCACTCCAGTACTGTTGTTTTGATTAGGTGCTTGTAATTTGTTTAAAATGGCATACCAATGATTAGTTGTAGAATGAGGTTTTAAATTAAAAAAGAGACTTACATGCAAACAAGTACAATATCGTTGATTAATATGGCCTGAACAAGCTAAACCATTTGAATGCTATTTACACATGAATGTATTACAGACTTAAAAAGGTGGCGTTGTTTGAAATTATTACTTTTACTTTTTAGTAGCTTCTTCTCGCTGTGAATACTTTACAGCATTGCAGTGTTGCTGTGAGTGAATGGTCTGAGAATTTGTTGAACTACTGTACTGTACAAACTCTGTCAGCCTTCAAAAGTCCCTTCAGGGGGATCAAGTCCCATCTGCCAAATAACTATCTCCTACACACTCCACCTGTCAGCTGGTGTGTAACCAGAGTCTGGCTGATGTTTGAGGTCACCTGAGGGGTGCGTTTTGCGTCTGCGTCAGTCACGATTAAACCACCATCTGCCTCAGCTGTGACTGCACTGAGCTGCCAACAGTTGGGATTTAATATCTGTATGTAAGAGTGATGACTGAAACACCTCAGCACAGCTCCACACAGCGCTGTGGTTTATGTTCTATATTTAAGATTAGTTACAAGATTAGTTGGTAGAAGAATTCAATTACTTTGTGTCTTAGACAAAATACTTACACAGGGATGTCCAACGATAACACAGGATGGCAATATATTTTATGGTAATTTAAAGAATGTATTCAACAACAGGAGAAAACTGTAGCTGAAATGTGGGCTGCAGTACTTTTAAATGTTCACATGATGGCAGTATTGGGCTAATTGCATTGTCACATTATGAGGTGATATTAACAAAAAAAGGCACAGCATTAGTTCAAAGCAAATAAATTTCATTTTTAAAGTGACTGGGAATTTTTTTTTTGTTTCTGTTTGGCTTCCTACTGTTTGATGTTTCCATTGAGCTCAGTGTCGACACAACTAAACAACTCTAATATTTAGACACCTCAGCATCAGTTGTGTCTCTCTAGCAAATTTAATTCAATTGCAATTTGAATGTGTGGATTTTAAAACGTAAAGTTTTGATTTATAGCAGAATCTCGTAAAGTTGAATTTGTGTTGCATTCAGGGATTTCAAAACTCACAGTCATCCAATAAAAAAGTAACAAGGAGGGAAGACCACAGGAGTTGTAACTTAACTGGTCCATCTTTAAGTTAGAAAATGACAATATATGTCCAATAATTTAGAATAGAATAGAATACATGTTTTTAAATTTGGTCCTGCAGTTCCACAGAGGATAAAAACACCCCACACGTCCCACAATTAAAGGAAAAACAATAAACAAAACAAAAAACTAACATCAATATTTCAGCAACACACAGCTTCTCATTAACAGTATCCACATGCCCCATAGCACACACACCTACACACACCTTCTGACAACAACGACATATTGCATAACCTTCGTGGTCGACATCTCACCCTGCCTTTTGAGTCGAGGATCTCAGGGGAATGTGGGTTGGATCAGAAACTATTTTCTGTGGCTGTCTGATAATGGACTGCTCATAAAGATGATGAAGAAGAGAAGTTTAAAGGGATAAGTATTTTTTAACCCCCATAATTTGTAAAGCAGTGTGTACCAGATGAGCAATTTGAGATTCCAGCTGTGCAGACAGGTTACCGTACCAGGCTGTTATCCCATAACTTATAATGCTCTCTAGGACTGCACTGTAGAAAAGCAACATGAACTTCTGCTCAACTCCATACACCCTAAGCTTACATAAAAAATACATCTGCTGTTGCAATCTAGAGCAAAGACTGTCAACCTTCCAGCACAGTTTATTATACTATCAACAGATTCTTGTCCAAATTTAGTGTTTATTAAAATCACAATTATTTGGAATTGAAAGCTTAGAGTCGTGGCCAGCGGAGCACAAGACAATATGTCTGTGACAAAAGCCAACTCCCAGACTTCACAGCACTTATAAACAGGTAGCCATAGTTCAGGTAACCAAATGTCAGGCAACCAAATCCCTGCGATTTAGTCACACTTTGTACACTACAAAATCATCAGGCACTTTTCAAACAAAAGGGCATCTGGTGCTTCACAGAACAAATCTGAGGCAAAACAAATCCAAAAATAAACACGCTCTCCCACCAGTCATTCATCTGGAAAGCAAATGTTATATACGGTAGTTACCTCCACTTAGCCATGGATGTGATTCCACAACAATAACTCAGCCCACTTCAAACAAAACTAAACAGACACTTTGAACTGAATGCACAATATCAGCACTAACCAAACTTCAACCACAAACATACGCACACAAACAGGACAAAGGACCGGAAAACGACTCTCTCTACCAAAAAAAAGTAGCCCGACTAACCAAATACACCAAACAAACTAATGGACAAGCTTTGATTTAGCCACAAGAGGCAGCAACTGCACCAACTAAACCAGGCTAAATTACCATTAACATTACCGTTTCTGGTAAAAATTATTACTGCAGCTACTGTAATGTATACGTAAGATGAATAACTCAAAAAGGTCAGTGCATTCTTTCTGCACTCTTTGACGTGAGAGTGGTTCCAGGCTATCTAGTCGTAAAGATTAGAAGACCTCGGGGTGTGTCATTTTCCTGAAATATGCTAGATGGAAACAAGAAGAGCCGACGCGCCCCTCTTTATTACCTTGTTTCTCAGGTGTATCTTGCCTCTTGAAGGTGTTTTTCTCAAGCAAACCCTATGCAGAAAAGTGTTGTGTAGAATTTGCTCTTGGTGCCAGTCCTGTAATACATTTGTTAAGGCAACAGATGTGTGCTTGTTTATTCATCAAAATACAGACTGAACTCAGAGCAGGATTTTCTTTAACTGCTTGTTTTCCCTTTCCAAGGAAAGTCAGTTCAAAATGTTTGTTTGGATTCCAGACACATTTTGTCACTGCTTAACTCAAGGCTGGTAGCAAAATGAAAAACCACTCAGGCGTACGCAGAAAAAGAAAAGTTGAGCTCAGTTTTTATAATGTGTGCGCTGTAGTGAGTGCTGTGTCATGCAACAAGACGAAGGAAGTAGTTTAAGGATGATGCTGCCATTTAAAAGGGAGAGAACGCCTACAAAAGAAACAGGAATGACAAATAGATAACAGTAAGTGGATGAGTATGGATGGCGGAACATAGAAAGCCTCGTCAATACAGCAACATTACTGCAAACCTGGTTGTTACCAGACATTGACAAGATAATGGTTCCCCTATGTTGCTCTTTTTTTCTCCTCAAACCCCCACATTAATCAGTGCCTTTTACTTTCTCTTCTTGAGGGCCTGTAGGTAAAATCTTGGCTTTGTACCAATGGAAAAGCTTTTATCTTGTCTTTTCCATTACATGTACGCATCTTCTTTCAACCCCAGGTTGTTTCTTTCTTCAAAGATAAGAGATGGAGATGTTCTGTATCATCTTACTGTAACCACATTCTGTTAAAAGACCAAAACCATCAATAAAATTATCCTTTAAAGAAGACATTTCAGGTGCAGTCAAAGCATATTCCTCTGTACTGCTGCAACTAACAATTTATTTCATTATCAATGAATCTGTGGCGTCTGAAGATGAAGAAAGCGGTTCATTCGAAGTTACTGAAAATACAACAATTTTCTATATTGAGGTGATTATACACAAATGAAAACCTGTGAATATTCCATTTCTGCCAAGATGGATTAAATGATGAATCCGTTATCAAAATAGTAATTTTTCTGTTACATACAGTAAAACTGTATTTATCTATTCTGATATGTTTTTCTTTTCAAATATTGGATACTTTTAACAATCAAGCCCTTTAAAAATCCTCCAAATGAAACAATCTAGAAAGAAAAATCTTGATCTTAGCTTGTTTTAAGGTGTTCAAATATATTTCAGTCTGCCAACTCACGTTTGAAATGTTTATTACAGCAGTATAACATATTTAGATTTTGGCGTCTAGGCTCTGAACTTATCATTCCACGCAGCTGGTTTACATAGAGATATTGGGGGGTGATAAGCAAATACCTTAAACCCCCTGCCGGAGCCTACAGGTGGATGCTGGGGTAGTGGTGGGGCTTACAGCGCAGCA